TGCTTATCCCCGGATGGGCTTATATACAAGTATATATGGGAAATATGGGTATTTTTAAAAAATATTACCATATATCACAGATAAGCTAAACCTGATTTTTTGGGTGCATTTTGGCACCTAAAATTCTCAGCTTATCTGCAAGAATACACAATACCTCCCCATGTTTTTTAAAAAAAACATTGTCACATGCTCATTAGCTGAAAAAAATATATTTTGGTTGAACAACAAGGAAGTTAAAATCAGCCACCGTCCATCAAACTTTATATCTATATATAAAACGAAATTTATCAGCTTTTAACAGGCCATAAACACACATAGGCACACACTTCATACATGCTGATCCATCATAGTTTGGCCTTGGTTTAATGTGTCACATGAACCAACTGTCTTAGTTTATTCAGTAATCTCTGGTTTAGTATCACATGTGAATTCATTCAAACTCTTGAAGGATTGGGGCGACCAAGATTTGAACTCAGATCCCTCCTCCAGCCAGGGAAACGTCTTCCCTCTGCAAATGGATCCCACAGAGACAGAATTTGCACGATCTGCAGCCTTCAATTGAACCCCACCTTAAAAGAACCCCAAGATGTCATTTTCATTCGTTCACTGCTCCTTCCTTGTTGTCAGAAAAACTGGAGAGGTCAAACTATTGTTAGAAAATCCCTGACTTGGAAAAGGATGGCCTGCCATATTTTGCACGTTATTAAACACTTTGAGCATCGGTTCTGATGTTACTCACTAGGGCGTCCCAATTTTTTTTTTCTTCATTTGCAGATGCTATTTTGACAACTAAAGATGCCGCTTTAGGGCAAATATTAGCAATTCCTCCCCCCACTTTTTATTTTTAGAATCCAACTCCCACACTCGATTGTCTAGGAAAAAAAAAAGAATTATGGTTTGGCAAAATTTGAGGGCCGTCTTTTGTCCGAGCATGACGTATAGAAAGAAATGAGGGGGAAAAGTCCCCTTTAGAAATACAAAAAGCAGGCAATTCTGTCCATGTTTTTGGAGTGTTACAAGCTCAAAATTCTCCAAACAGCTGTTTAACCCCCAAATCAGTGTTCTTCCTTCAAACAGGCCATTCTTCACTTGAAATTGTTTGAATTCAAATGCTTCGTGCGTATAATGAAAGGAACAGAAATATCAGGAGAACAAGAGAACATCTTTCTTCCCCCTTAATACTCCTTATTCCACGCTTACATTAACTTTCTCCCAGGCACGCATCTATTCACTTATAACTTTTTACCCAATATTATGAAATGGCAGAAGGGGAAACATTTCAATGATTATTACGGTCCGACCAATGCCGCCTCCGTCCAAGCTGAAAGCTGAGATATTAAAAATGTCGGTGAACGCATTTGCAAATGCACAGAGGGAAGGAGAGAGGAGGCCGCCACGCCGAACAGGAAAACGTTTAATGACCGAAAAAGGGGCTTACACAGACACTCAATCCCAGCAGAACACAACAGGGGAGGGGGAAGACCAGTGGCCCTTCAACAACGCTCCCAGCGAACATGAGAGGCTGGAAATGGTCACCCCTTCCCCTAACACAGCAGCCAGCCAACCTTTCTGACTAAGGAACGATCGTGGAGACGGAGGAGGAAAACAAGCCAGAACGGAGATGGAACTTCAGTTCAGGAGACCTGGAAGAGAAAAGCCGAGGTTGAAACTTGCTGCATGGGAAACTGGGTTTATAACCCCCCTTTTCTCAGGGAACTAAATGGGGTTATGGGGGGAGATCTCCCTAATGGTTATCACCCAACCCTGTTGGGTAGGCCAGGCTGAGAGGGAGGGACTGGCCCCAAGGCCCCCTGGGGGCTTCTGGGGCAGAGGGGAGAACTCTTAGCCCAGCACCTTCCCCGATCCTCCACCCATCCATTCTCTCCTGGCTTCATTCATTTGTTCGTTCGTTCGTCCATCCATCCATCTCTCCCTCCCTATCAATTTTCTATCATCCATCCATCTATTCCTCTCTATCAATCATCTATCACCCATCTATCTATCTCCTTCAATTTATCTTCACACAACGAAGGTAACCCCGCTTTCCTCCACACTTCGCACAATTAAAATGACCCCTTTTTGTTTTCTTCATTTTTAGTTTCCCTCCGTTTTGCTTTTACTCCTCTTCCCGCCCCCTGACATTTTGCTATAGCCATTCTGGGGTGACTCCTGAAGGACCCTAACATTTTGAGGAACGATTCAATCGAGAGTGACGTGGCTTAAGTAAGTTATTATGCAGCAATAGAGCACGACGTTCATTTCACAATTCCACAGCTTTGCTGTTTTTGTCCTTTCAAACACCCTGCCTCCATTTCGGTACTTTTGATCGTTTCACTCACCTTCTTTTTCCTCTGTGAAATTTGCACTGCTATTTTTTTAATCTAAATCTTTTCTACTTCCATAACTTTAAGGATGCTTAAACTGGGTCACTAACTGTAAAAAAAACACCATTATTATGATGGTTGGTTGCCCAGTCACCCAGATGTTTAGGCTGGATCTGGCACTTTTATCCACTGATCAAATCCTTCCCAAGGACCTGGGATAGCCAGATGTTGTGGCTGGATGGTGTGCAAGGTATGATCGCAGGATGGAAGCTGTTCCAAGCAAAGCTGCCTTTTGCAATGGACGGAGGGCAATTTTGTCAATGCTGATAGTCTTCCGTTGTTGTTCAGCTGTTGTGTCCAACTCTTCGTGACCCTGAGCCACATCGCACCAGGCCTTCCTGTCCTTCACTGCCTCCTGGAGTTTGCTCAGTTTCGTGCTCATTGCTTCAGTGATGCTATCTAACCATCTCATCCTCTGC